GGATATTTCTTCTTTGTCTTTTAGTGAAATTTTCTCTAATGATCACTCCAGACAAATTCGAAAAGATAATTTTGTATCATCAAAAAATACTTCTATCAAAGACTTGTCTTATTTTGAAGTTAGTTCTGTTTCTGAATGGAAAATAGCAATTGCTATTGTTACTTTGCTAATGTTATTCTGTTTAATTATTCTTATTTCCTTTGTTTATTGTTGTAGAAAACGAAATGTCGACAAAATGTTAAAGCTTAACGAGGACGAAATTATTTATTACAATGTATACAGCTGACAAATTCTCTAATTACGATAATTCCAATGTATTAAGTTTGATCAGTCTAATGCACAATTTCCTGTTAATATCCTATTTCCTAATCTTCAGTATTATTTCATTAAATATTTAAAACTGAGAGACAAATTGAATAAAGCCGTTTGTCAGTTAATTAATTAGACACGCGAAGAAACCAGGAAAACTCAAGACAATCTGTTAATCAGACTGAAACCTACAACTTAAACCTACTACAAGTAAAACCGAATGTGACCTATAATTTCTTAGGCCCACAGTGGCCAAGTGGGTAAAACATTCGTAGCTGGTTGCGGGCCCACGACTCACTAATGGGAGTGGAGTTTTTCAGGTTTACTTCACGTTAGTAACATTTGAATAGGAGAATAAACAGTTCTTCTGGGAACCATCTCTCCTCGGCAGATCAGAGGGATGACACGTGTCGCGTTTCTAAAACCAAACAACACCAAACTTAAGTAACTTAATTAAATACCGGTTATCCACCAGTGTTGGAATGGATGAAACCACTGAATCAATATCCAGTGGTTCCACCAGTTAACTACAAGTGGCGGAATGAATAAAACCACTGAATACTGGCCTACCAATAGCAGAATGGATAAACCACTGAATCAGTATCCAGTGGTTCCACCGGTTTCACCAGTGGCGGAATGGATAATACCGTTGGTCGTGAGTTCGCTCCTCACCAACGGACTATTCGCGTGGATTTCTCGGGGTTTTTTTCTCTTTTTAACCAATATAAATAGCGCCAATTTCCCGTAGAAAGTTCACCTGGAAAACATTTCTCCTCGCAAAATGGCCTACGTGTCGCATTGCCGAATACAAATAAACGTAACTACCGGTTAATTTACTTTTATTGGAAAGCACCGAACGTAGAATACTTGAGCCTCGGGATCCAATTTTTCTGGTACAGTACTACGTTAATCTAGATTCTATGACGTCTGGGAGTTTGAGTTCTTACCAGTTTTCAAATTAAAATTCTTAAATTACTACTTGTAAATGAGTTTTATAATTAAGATATATTTTTAAAAGTTCGTGTTTAATGCAAATATATATATATATATATATATATATATATACANGTCCATTAATGAGGTGTAAATTCATGATCAACAACAAGTGTTGTTGATTGTGAGTGTATTTATGCACTCAGCCACTATTGAGTGTCAAGAATTATAAAATGCAATATGGAAGAGAGCATCTTGAAATGCTTCTAAGAGGATTTGGCTGAGCTCCTTGTATATCAGTTGGTATATTTAATTTTTTAAAATTTTTTTGATTTTAAAAATGATATGTTGGGCAAAATTACAAATTGTTTGGTAGGAAATGAGTTAAAATACTTTAAAAATTTTATTTTTTGGAATATTTAACTTGTTTTCCCTCCTTCACAGGTTTTATGACTACTTTTAAAAATTGAAATGTCTAAATTTTATCTTTACAACCTGATATTTATTTGAAAGAGTATCCAATTAAAATGCAACCAACAGCATATTAGCTAAAATTTTTTCATTGATTAAGTAAAGTTTCCAAAATACTTGCAACAATGGATTAATTTTTTGCAATGCTTCCAGTAATAATGCAATCAGTAGGAAAATTTTTGAAATCTGTCTAATAATTTTGTAATTTGTGTGCTATTTAAGAAATGTTTTTCAAAATTTTGAAAAGTATGAAAATTCTTCACTTAAATAGTGGCAAGGACTGTAATTCTAGTTTACCTGCTGGGCTAGCTGATGGACTGAGATATTATTAATCTAAATGTGATTAAACCAAATGATTTCTGTAATTAATCAAGCTATTATTTTACTGTGGGCATAAATGTAATTAAAATGTACAGCATAACAAACAATTTACTTACCCTTTGTATATTTTTGTTAAATGATATTAGTCCTTTTTTTTACATGTTCATGGGCTGTGGCCAGTGTTGTCTTATACATTAGGTACTTTAGGCACAGGCTTATGAAATTAAAAATTGAGAAAATGGAAGTTATGAGAATTAAAATAAAATATTAAATTAAACTTTTGTTCAGTCAGTTTATTTTATGTAGACTTTTTTACACTTTTTGCATGCAAAATCTTTAATAATTTCCTCAACTGACAATTGTTTTAATATTTCACTTTCTGTGGAAAGTACAGATAAATATGATAATTTCGTTTGAGACAAATTAGATCTTGAATAATTTTTAATGTGATTTAATGTTGAAAAAGATCATTCTCCAACAGAATTTGATCCTAAGATTGACATGTACTGTACATTCTAAGAGCAATATTCATATTAAGAAAGTTGGATAGTAAATTCTGCTCCTTTTTCAGCAGCAATAATTCATGTACTGTTTTGCAATCTGGAAATAATTTTAAAAAGATAAAAGAAAAAGATTATATTTAAAAATTTAAAAAGTGCCTAGGTCCTCCAAAAAGGTTAATGTGGCTCTGACTGCAGCCTCCATTTACCTTGTGCTAGTTAGTCAATTGTTAAAACAGCCCTGGCCTGCCTACCATCATTACATCTACTCTGATTGAAAAGTCGTTCAGTCTGTTTTTACAATTATTAGAAAGATTATAACAGTACTTAACATGTAAACAAAATTAACATTGTAATATTTTAATTATTATTTAAAATCCACTAATATATTGTCCATATTATGGTATTATTGATTACAGTTTATATAAATTAATTTTATTTAAATCTAAAAAAAATAAACAGGATAAATTAACAACAGCTACTTTACAACTGGTTAAAATTATTGAACTACAATAGAAATTAAAAATAACAAATTCCTAAAAAGAATATAACAATAGTTTAAACATTGATAAAGAAAGACGTCCTTTAACAGTGATTAGACAAAAAAAAGTATTTAAAATGTCAATAATTTGCTATTGTGGCCGTGTTTGCTTTAACAATTTTACTGATAATTCTCTCAGTTTATTCAAATACTTCCATTCAAATTGTGAATTGTATACATAAAAGCTAAAATAAATGTATATATATTTACTTCAATTCTATTTACGTAGACTATTTTCAACGATAACAAAAGCATCCTTACAAAGAACAGGAAAAAATTGTATAGAATGGTTCATATGTTAAAAGAAATTAAAATAAAATAATTAAAAACAATTTTTTTAAATTGTCTATATGGTGGTTTTTTATGTAAATAAACGTATTTAGCTTAACCATATACAAATAAAGAGACAAACAAAGAGTATATAAAGAGACTGGCAGAAAAAATAAAGAGAAAACTTTAACTGTTTTTCATCTAGAAATGTTGAAAACAGATGAGAAACAATTATTGTGACTTCCTCACAATACCGTAGCTGTAATTTTTAATTAATCATATATTTAATTTATTTCATTTAAAATATATGCTCTCCACCTCAAATTAGTAGTGGCTTGCCCCTGTACATCATACTTTTCCTTTAACAATAGAGTTTTGCCAGTAATTTATCTAAGAAAATATAAGAAAAATAACGGCCTACCAATGGCCGAGTGGATACCACTAAACACTGGTATTTACCAGTGTTCAGTGGTTTTATCCATTCGGCCATTGGTTTTTTGGTCGTGTGGGTTTAACGCCTCACCGATGAGTTTGCCACATGGAATTTTCCTGGTTTTTTTCACTTTAGTAACACCTAAATAGGGGCTAGTTATACATAAAAAGTTATTCCGGGATGCATACATCTCGGCGGATCGCCCACGTGTCGTTTTGCCACAAACAAATATGGAAAATTTCTGTCCTGTTGGCACTAACACTGTTTTAGTTTCGCCCAGGCCTATAATGAATAGAGGGAAACGGACTTGCCAGACATGTTTAGGCACACCGTCCTTGAATAATAATTCCTGAAGATGTTGATTGATACTAGTATCTGGATCTCCCAGAACAACAGGCTGACGACTTTCTCGTTTCTGGCATCCTGCATTCAATTTCTTATTTCTTTTATTTGGAGATGTGTAAATTTATTTTTGTGGTTTTGCTTCTTTCTTTAACAACTCTATATAAACTTTTACTGGTGTTATTCTTCTAACTACGCTATAGCGTGTTGATGTAAGACTATTTCTTTAGGTAATAACACATGTTCACTACACACGTTTTTATCTTTAAATTTATAGATTAACGAAAATTTCTCTTCTAGATATATAGAAAAATAGTTAAACATCGTATCAATTCATTAGTTGAATATTAATAATCATGCATTTTCTAACAAACTGGCGTAAATAATACATCAATTTTTATCATTGTACATGTGGGTAATAAGCTTACTTTTTATATAGTTACCATAGGCATCCACTTGTATATAGTGACCTTACTCTTGTGCGTAATCCTCCCTGTTACTATCAGCATCACAGTTATTACCAACCAAGTTACTAAAGCGGCTTTCTTCTCAATGACAATCATTTCTTAACACTACTCTAACGTAGGCTAAGATAAAATCTGAATCTAACATTCCAATTGAAGCAAAGAGGAAAGTTTACTTAACACCTTACGTGGAGTGTATACTAGTGATTTCATGTTATATAATATCATACTTGATCCCTGTTGTTGTAGGGGTAGATTGTCTTTCCTTCTTATTATTTTAAAAGTATAACAGCTAATGAGAAGACAATAATAGAAAGAAAATATAAACATATTCATCTCTTTCCCATTCTAACGGAGTATGAGCCACAACAGAGAAAGAGTCGAAAAAATATTATACAGAGGAAATATATTCGGTTAAAATTGAATAATTTATTAAAATTTCTTCTTTTCAAACAGGCAAATCGCTAATGTTTTGTACCTCTTCTCGTTCTTCCAAGTTTACGTTATTGTGATCGAAATTCTTTCTTGTAACTTCAATTACAGTCACTATACTGGTGAGTGATAATTCAGACCCTGGTATAGAAGTAACTGATTCATCATCTAGTTCATCTATATCTCTTGCTTCTAAAGTTTCGTGGTCACCGATTTTATTGGAATTATCCATTATTCTATCTTCATTATAACCTGGTTCGACAGGGACAGTAATCATTTCGGATTCAACGCAGTTTTTAAGTGTTCTTTCTCTGCTAAACATTTTGAAACATTAATTTAATAATTTTATTACATTTATTATAAATAAGTAAAGTAATCAAAATTACGTTTTTCTATTAAAGATTTTTTTCATATATTTTATGAAAGTGCTCTTTGTTTTCTTCGTATTAACAACGTTTGCTCTTTCCTTGAATCCTTGACCAAACCAATTTCTCAGAAGATCTTTGAATCGCCTACATTTATTTTCTTTTTGATGACAGAATTCCATTTCTGAATGTTTTAACTTACCAATAATTTTGTAATTTTTAACAATGGTTTTTATTAATCTTTATTTGTTAACAATGAATTTTATTAATCTTTATTTGTTAACAATGAATTTTTATTTTTATAAAAAGTCCTATTTATAAACGAGTTATAAGTGAACAATATAAAGACAAAATTGAATTATTTAAAGACATAGAGGTATAAAAAATTAATATAAACAATTTACATTGACGATATTGGCGAAAACACTTTAAGAATAAAAGTAGCATAAATTGCATTCTATGAAAGCAGAGCCTGATTTATGTTTAAGTTAAACAAACTGTAGCTTAGGGCCTCACGTTATAAGGGTTCACGTTCTATTCACAAAAACAGTTTATGTGTGTTATTCATTATCACTTGGTGGAGGAGGAAGAGCATGTTGCATATTGTAGCGCAGGGCCTAAAGAAGTCTAAATCCAGCTCTGTATGGAAAAATAACTATCTAAATACTTTCTTGAAACCTTTTTAATTGTAAAAACATTCTTTGTGTTAGTAAAATTCGTTTCTCTCATTAAAAAATTAGAAATTTTATTCATAAAACCTTAAAACATCCGCATTTCTGTTTTTATTGCTTATAACGAGGACTAGGCTAATCCAGTCGTCTTCAAACATCTCGTAAATGATTGTATATATATAAATAAATTCAATAATGATTGATCAAATAGCGTAGAAATATATAAAATTCTATTGATCATGTAATTTTATCCTTAATTTACTTCATTGCCCAACTCCTACATAAAAGGAGGACATCGTGGATGTGTGATGAACATCTCTTAGTGTCTACACAACACTAAGAAATGTCCACAACACTAAGAAATGTTTCTTTTCGAACAAAAATGTATATAAAATAATATCAAAACAAAGTCTCAGCCGCTAAAAACCCTATATTTAACCTCCACCAACAGCCACTAAAAATGAAGTGAAAAAAATAATAATGCACTATACAGAGTTAGTAGTTTGAGCACATAATATACACCTTTTTCATTAATTATTTTTACATTAGAAAGTCCTGACTTTATGAGCTGTTATACTTTTTTATAAAAGTCTTTTAAAATATAATAACTCTAAGCTAAAATTCATGTAAATGAATATATAAAAATAACAAATTCCTAAAAAGAATATAACAAGAGTTTAAACATTGATAAAGAAAGACGTCCTTTAACAGTGATTAGACAAAAAAAAGTATTTAAAATGTCAATAATTTGCTATTGTGGCCATGTTTGCTTTAACAATTTTACTGATAATTCTCTCAGTTTATTCAAATACTTCCATTCAAATTGTGAATTGTATACATAAAAGCTAAAATAAATGTATATATATTTACTTCAATTCTATTTACGTAGACTATTTTCAACGATAACAAAAGCATCCTTACAAAGAACAGGAAAAAATTGTATAGAATGGTTCATATGTTAAAAGAAATTAAAATGAAAAAGACAAGTTGGATTGCATGGAAAATAATTAAAAACAATTTTTTTAAATTGTCTATATGGTGGTTTTTTATGTAAATAAACGTATTTAGCTTAACCATATACAAATAAAGAGACAAACAAAGAGTATATAAAGAGACTGGCAGAAAAAATAAAGAGAAAACTTTAACTGTTTTTCATCTAGAAATGTTGAAAACAGATGAGAAACAATTATTGTGACTTCCTCACAATACCGTAGCTGTAATTTTTAATTAATCATATATTTAATTTATTTCATTTAAAATATATGCTCTCCACCTCAAATTAGTAGTGGCTTGCCCCTGTACATCAAACTTTTCCTTTAACAATAGAGTTTTGCCAGTAATTTATCTAAGAAAATATAAGAAAAATAACGGCCTACCAATGGCCGAGTGGATACCACTAAACACTGGTATTTACCAGTGTTCAGTGGTTTTATCCATTCGGCCATTGGTTTTTTGGTCGTGTGGGTTTAACGCCTCACCGATGAGTTTGCCACATGGAATTTTCCTGGTTTTTTTCACTTTAGTAACACCTAAATAGGGGCTAGTTATACATAAAAAGTCATTCCGGGATGCATACATCTCGGCGGATCGCCCACGTGTCGTTTTGCCACAAACAAATATGGAAAAATTCTGTCCTGTTGGCACTAACACTGTTTTAGTTTCGCCCAGGCCTATAATGAATAGAGGGAAACGGACTTGCCAGACATGTTTAGGCACACCGTCCTTGAATAATAATTCCTGAAGATGTTGATTGATACTAGTATCTGGATCTCCCAGAACAACAGGCTGACGACTTTCTCGTTTCTGGCATCCTGCATTCAATTTCTTATTTCTTTTATTTGGAGATGTGTAAATTTATTTTTGTGGTTTTGCTTCTTTCTTTAACAACTCTATATAAACTTTTACTGGTGTTATTCTTCTAACTACGCTATAGCGTGTTGATGTAAGACTATTTCTTTAGGTAATAACACATGTTCAGTACACATGTTTTTATCTTTAAATTTATAGATTAACGAAAATTTCTCTTCTAGATATATAGAAAAATAGTTAAACATCGTATCAATTCATTAGTTGAATATTAATAATCATGCATTTTCTAACAAACTGGCGTAAATAATACATCAATTTTTATCATTGTACATGTGGGTAATAAGCTTACTTTTTATATAGTTACCATAGGCATCCACTTGTATATAGTGACCTTACTCGTGTGCGTAATCCTCCCTGTTACTATCAGCATCACAGTTACTTACCAACCAAGTTACTAAAGCGGCTTTCTTCTCAATGACAATCATTTCTTAACACTACTCTAACGTAGGCTAAGATAAAATCTGAATCTAACATTCCAATTGAAGCAAAGAGGAAAGTTTACTTAACACCTTACGTGGAGTGTATACTAGTGATTTCATGTTATATAATATCATACTTGATCCCTGTTGTTGTAGGGGTAGATTGTCTTTCCTTCTTATTATTTTAAAAGTATAACAGCTAATGAGAAGACAATAATAGAAAGAAAATATAAACATATTCATCTCTTTCCCATTCTAACGGAGTATGAGCCACAACAGAGAAAGAGTCGAAAAAATATTATACAGAGGAAATATATTCGGTTAAAATTGAATAATTTATTAAAATTTCTTCTTTTCAAACAGGCAAATCGCTAATGTTTTGTACCTCTTCTCGTTCTTCCAAGTTTACGTTATTGTGATCGAAATTCTTTCTTGTAACTTCAATTACAGTCACTATACTGGTGAGTGATAATTCAGACCCTGGTATAGAAGTAACTGATTCATCATCTAGTTCATCTATATCACTTGCTTCTAAAGTTTCGTGGTCACCGATGACAGGAGGACGACAACACGATTTTATAGATCTAATTTTTCAAACATTAGCCCAATAAATATCATGGATCTATCAAAAGATGAAGGGTACACGGAAAAATGGGTTCGAGTTCAAGTACAGTACCTGCAATTTCGACTTAACGAGACTGTATTATATGAAAAGCCCTATATACTGTGGCCGGAACCTGTTGACAGCTTCGACTTAGCGAGGTATTATTGTATAACTTGAAGCACTTGTTCTAAAAAGCATATTATTGTTAATAAAAAGTATATAGTATTTTCTGAAGGAGACCAGAAGGTTACATGCACATAAGCTAAACAAACTGTAGCTTAGTGCCTCACGTCATCAGGCTCTGTACCTCACATTTTTACATATATAATTATTTGGTAAAGAGAAAGGGCTTGTTATATTTTTAATTAAAATGGCTGCTGGTATTTTTCACATAAAAAATGTACAGAAGAAAATAAAATGTCTTCACGCTTACTTCATGTCCAATAAGTTTTAATTAAAATTATATATTTTTTAGTTGTTAACTTATCTTCAGAGGATGTTTTAAACCATTTTTATATAATTTTAAAGGCGAGTTCTCTAACAGAAGGTCATATCTATAAAGGCAGACTTGTCCCTGGTGATTGCAGACGTTTTTATTTCCTCTATGTATATTTAAGGTTTGTTATATGTTATAGCATAGGGTTATAACAAGTCTTAGTCTACCCTCTTTGAATCATAATAACTCCTGTGCTTTTTGTCGAAAATTTCTAAATTTTTGCAGGGAGGTTTGTGTGTTACGGTTATTAATACTGTTAAATTTTGGTAGTTAAAGGTCGACGGGGTGGTGAGAAAAAGGAGGTCATGTGTCGTATCTCGAGCAAGATCGCACTTAATGACAATTTTACTCGTTATTAACATTTANCTTGCTTCTAAAGTTTCGTGGTCACCGATTTTATTGGAATTATCCATTATTCTATCTTCATTATAACCTGGTTCGACAGGGACAGTAATCATTTCGGATTCAACGCAGTTTTTAAGTGTTCTTTCTCTGCTAAACATTTTGAAACATTAATTTAATAATTTTATTACATTTATTATAAATAAGTAAAGTAATCAAAATTACGTTTTTCTATTAAAGATTTTTTTCATATATTTTATGAAAGTGCTCTTTGTTTTCTTCGTATTAACAACGTTTGCTCTTTCCTTGAATCCTTGACCAAACCAATTTCTCAGAAGATCTTTGAATCGCCTACATTTATTTTCTTTTTGATGACAGAATTCCATTTCTGAATGTTTTAACTTACCAATAATTTTGTAATTTTTAACAATGGTTTTTATTAATCTTTATTTGTTAACAATGAATTTTATTAATCTTTATTTGTTAACAATGAATTTTTATTTTTATAAAAAGTCCTATTTATAAACGAGTTATAAGTGAACAATATAAAGACAAAATTGAATTATTTAAAGACATAGAGGTATAAAAAATTAATATAAACAATTTACATTGACGATATTGGCGAAAACACTTTAAGAATAAAAGTAGCATAAATTGCATTCTATGAAAGCAGAGCCTGATTTATGTTTAAGTTAAACAAACTGTAGCTTAGGGCCTCACGTTATAAGGGTTCACGTTCTATTCACAAAAACAGTTTATGTGTGTTATTCATTATCACTTGGTGGAGGAGGAAGAGCATGTTGCATATTGTAGCGCAGGGCCTAAAGAAGTCTAAATC